CAGGAATTGTAGGGAAGGCAGGCTCGTGCTTCTCCTCTCCTTGGGTTGTAAGATTTCCCTCAGTCGTTTTGAGTGCTCCTTTGTCCATGTTGGGTGGTTCCTCGTCTGTGTCCAGCTCGATGACCTCATCATCTCCTCCCTCTTGAGAAGGTTTTGACCTCAAAACAGAATCTCCTGCATCAAAAGGAAGCAAGTCAGCTATATTGAAAGTAGAAGATACATTATACTCACCGGGAAGCTCCAAACGGTAGGCATTGTCGTTGATCTTCTCAATCACGCGGAATGGGCCATCTCCTCTTGGTACTAGCTTGGATGTTCTCTTGTGTGGAAAGCGCTCCGGCTTAAGATGTAGCCACACCCAATCTCCCTCATTGAAAGTGATCTTCTTTCGTCCTTTGTTTGCTTGTCGTGCATATTGCTCCGTTCTCCTTGCAATATTCTCCCGGACTTTTGCATGCAACTTCATCATACTCTCGGCCTTTTGCTGCCCATCAAGGCTGACCATTTCCTTGCTTGGGATGGGCGAGAGATCCAGCGGAGTGATGGGGTTGAATCCGTAGACAACCTCAAAGGGTGAATGCTTTGTTGCCGAATGGATAGCTCGGTTGTATGCAAACTCGACATGGGGAAGGGAGCCCAGCCAATTCTTCAAGTTTCTCCCAATAGCTGCTCGCAACAACGTCCCCAAAGTGCGGTTGACAATCTCTGTTTGCCCATCGGTTTGAGGATGACAGGTTGTAGAGAACAAAAGCTTGGTTCCGAGTTTTCTCCACAATGTCTTCCAAAAGTAACTCATGAACTTCGTGTCTCGGTCAGAAACGATGGTCTTAGGCAGCCCATGAATCCTCACGATCTCCTTAAAGAACAGATCAGCTATGTAAGAGGCATCGTTTGTCTTTGCACAAGGAATGAAATGCGCCATCTTTGAAAACCTGTCAACAACAACAAAGATGGAATCTTTGTTCCGGATTTTTGGAAGTCCAAGAACAAAGTCCATAGAAATGTCAGTCCAAGGACAAGTAGGAATAGGTAAGGGAAGATACAAACCGTGCGGGTGTGTCTTAGACTTGGCTTGATGGCATTGAACACAACGAGCACAATGTCGTTCGACATCCCGTTTGAGACGTGGCCAAAAGAAATGCTCCTTTACTACAGCGAGTGTCTTGTCCACGCCAAAGTGTCCCATGAGTGCTCCTCCATGCGCTTCTTGAAGAATGAGATCCCTCATTGAGCATTGTGGAATGCACAATCTGCGCTCTCGGAACAAGTAATCGCCTTCCTTGTAGAATGATCCGTATGCTCCTTTGTTGCACTCCTCATAGATATCCCCGAGCTCCGGATCGTCGCGGTACAGGCCCTTGATATGCTCAAAGCCGAGCATCCTTGCCTCCATGGTGGTGATGAGTGTATGTCTCCTTGATAGTGCATCCGCCACCACATTATCTTTGCCTTTCTTGTACTTGATCACGTAGGGAAATGTCTCAATGAACTCCATCCACCTTGCATGCCTCTTCTTGAGTGAAGTTTGTCCTTTGAGATGCTTGAGAGTCTCGTGATCAGTATGTATGATGAACTCTTTCGCCAAGAGGTAGTGTTGCCACGTTTGTAATGCTCGCACCAAAGAATATAGCTCCTTGTCATATGTGGGATAGTTGAGTGTTGCTCCATTTAGCTTTTCGCTAAAGTATGCCACGGGTCGTTTCTCCTGCATCAAAACAGCTCCAATACCCACACCGGATGCATCACATTCTATTTCAAATACCTTGTCAAAGTCGGGAAGGACTAAGACGGGTGCTCTCGTGAGTTGCTCCTTTAATGTGTTGAATGCCTTCTCTTGTGCTTCTCCCCACTCGAATGGCTTATCTTTCTTGATAATGGACGTGAGGGGGAAGTTTCTCTCTTCGGAGAGTCTCCATGACTAGCTCAAGATGTGTCACATGATCGACAAGACATTTGCTATAAATCAGAATATCATCGAAACAAACCACAACGAAATTACCAATGAAGGCTCGTAGGACATGATTCATGAGCCTCATGAATGTACTTGGTGCGTTGGTTAAGCCGAAGGGCATGACTAACCACTCGTACATCCCATGCTTCGTTTTGAATGCGGTTTTCCATTCGTCACCTTCGCGCATTCTGACTTGGTGATAACCGCTCTGTCATCTCCATTCGTTACCTTTGCGCATTCTGACTTGGTGATAACCGCTTTTTAGATCTACCTTTGAGAAGATAGTGGCTCCACTAAGCTCGTCCAACATGTCGTCGAAACGCGGGATAGGATGTCGGTATTTGACTGTGATATTGTTGATAGCCCGACAATCCACGCACATCCTCCATGTTCCATCTTTCTTTGGGACGAGTAAAACGGGAACTGCACATGGACTCAAACTTTCACGAATATAACCCTTTTCCAATAACTCTTGTACCTGTTTTTGTAGCTCTTTGGTCTCTTCGGGGTTCATTCGATACGCGGGTCTGTTTGGAAGAGGTGTTCCCGGGATCAAATCGATTTGATGCTCGATTCCTCTCGTTGGTGGTAGCCCCGGTGGAGTTTCTTCCGGAAATACATCCTTAAACCGTTCTAGAATCCGTGTGATCTCGAAAGGAAGCTCTTTCTCTTCGAATCTTGTACTCAAAACATCTTTAAAGACCATGAGTAGTACAGCTCGTTCATCAACCAAAGCTTTACTTACCATGCTCGGTTTGACATAGAAATTCGGTTTCTTGCTATCCTCAACTTCCTTAGACAACCTCAATTGCATTTCATGTATTTGTAAAGGGCTAAGAGGTGCTAATGAGATCTTACGCTTGTTAAACATGAAAGAGTAGTGATTTGTCCTACCATCGTGCTTAACCTCTTGGTCGAATTGCCATGGTCTTCCAAGGAGAATATAACCAGCTTGCATAGGAACCACATCGCACATTACCTCATCTTGGTATCTCCCAATGCTAAACGAGATTTTCACCCGTTCATTCACCTTAAGCTCTCCTTGGTTGTTCAGCCACTGTAGCTTATAAGGGTGTGGATGCTTTTCCGTTTCGAGCCCTAGCTTCTTCACCATGTAAACACTAGCAACATTAGTGCAGGAACCGCTATCTATGATTAACCCACATACCTTGTTCTTCACGGTACATCGGCTGTGGAAAATGGTTTCACGTTGTGCGGTTTCTTCTGGGGTAGTCATGGTGCTCAAGACTCGCCGTGTGACAAGTAGCTCCCCGCTGTCCGGATACTCAACTTCTTCTTCCAGATTTTCAGCCTCTTCCTCATCCCAAGAATCATAATCTCCAGCCTCGGTAATGACCATTACACGCTTGTTTGGACAATCACGAGCATAATGTCCTCGACCCCTGCACTTGTAACAAACAATCTCGTGGCTCGGAGTGTTAGATTTGTTACTTACAGAAGTTTCACCTTTGGATGTTGCAATGCCCTTTCCTTTGTTCTTTGGATCCTCTTGAACAGGTTTTGAGGTGGGCATGTTGTGTCCTTTGCTCTCGGTTCTCAGATACACATTGCTAGGCATTCTGATTCGGTTTGTCCTAGCTTGCTTCTTGTGTATCTGCTGCTCTATTTGAATAGCAAGATGTAAAAGATCATGGATATCATGGTAAACGTGTCTCTCTACCTTTCTAGCAATGCATTCTTGTAGTCCGTCTAGGAATTGAGCCATAACAGTCTCATCATCCTCTTCTATCTCCAATCGATTTCGAAGATGCTCAAACTCCTCAAAGTAGTCTTCAACCGATCTGCTCCCCTGCGCCAACTTACGATATCGTCTATGTAAATCCCGATGGAAATGTGATGGAACATACCTCTTTCTCATGAGATGTTTCATTTCCCTCCAGGAGATTATTGGATCATAGTGAGAACGTCTCCTTTCGGCTATTTCTCGGTCCCACCATGTGAGTGCATTGTCCGTGAGTTGAGCCGCCGCGTATTGAACCTTCCTCTGTTCGGTATATGTATAGCAATCGAAAATATTTTCCATCCGCCTCTCCCAATCGAGATAAGCTTCAGGGTTAACTTTACCAGCAAAAGTAGGAGGTTTGAGTTTCAAATCTGTACCTTGGTGTCTTTGAACTCGTGGTTGCCT